GAATCCCTTTAACGACATAGTTACTTCTCTATATGAGTGAGAGATTCTCGAATGAAACGTAAAACAATATACAATCAATCAATCTTCTGAATAGTGAAACTATCACGGGAAACAGCAAATTACAAATTAAAACAATAACAATTTTAAATCGAACTCCTTTGTTTAATTTACTACAAGTTTAACGTCTCTTTGGTCATTAAACCAAAAAAACAACAACATTGCGTTGAACATCTTTTTAACTTATTTCAAGAAATAATCAATTAAGGCAGATTTATCAATAAATGTGTATGTATAGTTTACCTGAAGAAACTTCTGAGCATAGCCTTTAAGCCAGAAATATACGTATACGATGTTGAAAGCTTTAAAGGTAGTATTAAAATCATGCACTTGTGAATTTTTTACTCCAATTTTTGTTGACTCAGAATCATTTTTAAAAATGACATGAATCTTGAGAAAAAGTGGACATACTCTCCAGAAAAGACCAAAAGCTAGAGAATTTGCAAAGGTTGCTAATAAAATAATACTATGAAACCTTTCACTCTGTGAATATTTATAAATAATCCCTATTGCGTGTATTTTCATGTCTGCATTTTATTCCTTACCTAACCAGTATTCCCCCTTCACGTTCCCAAATCCCTTTCTGTAAGAATCCCAAGATCTATAAAAGTCTATTGATCCATCCATTCTTCGTTGAATGACCTTTAAAAAGAGGGGAAAGTGTGGTGAGCATGATTAAATTGTTGCAAAAACAGAAAATCTGTCAAAAAATTTATCCTAAGTTATAATTTTTTCAATCGTATATTCAGTATATTTAGAGGAAAGCAGATGGGTGAACATAGCGTGCAGATTTATTCAATGAATTTGTGATTAATTACTTAAAATAAAACTCTTATTACTGAAATCTGTGAAATTTTGATAACCCAAACTTTGCTGAGGAAAATTTTCTAAGCAAAGCATATTTTGATTTAGCAGCATCTGTGCACTACGTTCTATAACTTTTGATGGATATTGGCATTGAGTTCGTGTTTGTGAATAAGACATTCTACTAAATTGACCCAAGTATTTTTCAAGTGTGAATGTTATGTCATAAAAGTGTAGATTTAAGGAATATTGGGCCATTGCTCTATGTGTCTTTTAATCGGTAAAGTACGAGGGGTGATCAAAAAGTTCGCGAACTACCTCTATATCTACAAAATCACAATTCAGATTAGAAAAAAATTTGGTACACACATAGCCATATACAAGTTCTATAAATAGCATATGCTGAATAAAGTTTTGCTCCTTGTTTGTGACCTCACAATGTGAAAATGACGTCACTATGTAGGTCACTTGTGACAAAAAAGTGATTGTGTCAGTCGTACTCGTTCAACGAACGACTGTAAAATTTATGGTATATCTTAGAAAATCCTTTGCAGTAGCGTATAATAATTTGTACACAGTTTATTAAGACAAAGGAATTCCTAAAAACTTAAACAATGATTGATTGGTCGTTTTAGTGAAGGACGGCAGATGGTTAAAAATGATATTCGTTACGTTGCCCATTGAAAGCAAGTTTGAAAATTGCTATCAAAGACCTCCAATTTACACTTTGCCAAATAGTTGAATATCTTAACAATAATATAATTATTAAATACCTAGGATATCGTTTACTTTAGATTTTAAATATATTAGATATGACAAAACGGAGGCATCCATTCTCTTTCCACCTTGAATAAACGTCTCTCCAGAGACAGAAGATTTGGGTTTTGATGGTCGCCATGCTTATTTTTGGAAAGGATATTCTTATCCACCCATTCTGTTGCCGAGATTTGACCATTTCTTTCAAATGAGCTGTTTTTGTAATAAAAATTAACTTACACGGAAAGAAATATGAAAGTCAGAAAAAACTTTCAGCTTTTGTGACAGAATGCTACGGAGGGGGTTACGTGACCGCCTATATCACGTGATTCGCGCATGAGCAGAACGGTGGCAGACGTGCAATAAAATCAGAGAGGGCTGATTTAAAATAAAATCAACACTGAAACCAAATATTGTTTCTTACATGGAAGTTATTCAGTTAGTTCGCTAACTTTTTGATCACCCCTCGTACAGACTGGTATATAATTACGTAGAGTTTAAGGATAAACTTTCAAAAAATGGAGCCGAGAATTTGGTCCTTTTTGTCTTGATCATTGTTTGTATGCCATTTTGTAGGCAAATAATTTAAATCTTTAAATTGAAATTTAATTTTTCACCCTCAGGTTTGTCACACTATAGGCATTCTGCACGCCTTATTCACCCATTCCCTCTAGTTGTATGGATATGTGTACAAGCGTAGCAATAAAACTAAAATTTAAGAAACTTCTTACCGTCCAACCCCCTCCCTCTGTAGTCATGTCACAGTACACAAGTTTCTTTGTCTTCATATCAGGGTATATAGTATAGACACCATCCTTTCCTCTTGTGTTGGGTATGACTTTCAAAATTGATGCACAATCTCTTTGCTTTTGAATGTCTGGTTTGAATAATATATATAATACATTAATAATGTAAGAGTTGACTTTAATCTTATAAAAGTGGAGATATCTATAACCGAAGTTAATTTTAATAACAGAATTTCTTTAGAAGATATAAAACTTCTTGTCTCACATTTTTTTTTCAGGCATTGAGTTTTTTTTAAAGCTGTAACTCATGCTAAATTAAATTCTAAGTTAACAAAGATCCCATGAACAAAGGTTTCATTTTCTGCTTCTGCATAGTAAATACCCTTCATTATGGAATAGCTTACTCTGAAACTCGGTAAAGTGCTTCCCCGTAAGCCTGTAGTGGGACAAAAAAGAAATGTCCACAGAAACTGGGGTATCCACTTTGACGGATGTGTTCAGATGTTTCCAATTCCAGGAAGTTAACTTCAGTAAAGACTCAACATTTCCTGAAATATTTCTTAAACTATACAATAATAGACGGTACTTCATACAATAAAGTTTTCAAAGCAATAATTTTGAATTTTTGAAAATAGTTTTAGGTGCATTTTATTTCACTTAGAGGAAAAGGATAGAAACAAAAAGGAAGAGGACAGAAGCAAAATACCTTGGGAATTTCGTCCAATACAATAAAGAGCAACAAAATGAAAAAAGAAGCAACACACAATCACGATACTTTTCACAATATCTTCAGATGCAAGTGCATTCCATATAGAAACAATCTACATATACTTTATTCTATCTTAATTAAAATGTAATGTAATATTACGGTTTATGACAATGTACTAGTATATTGTATGTAGACATTGACATATTTACTAAAATCATTGTGGAGGGCGTTGCCGAATGTTGCCACTCTTAAAACCTTGATAGAGAAAATCACAAGAAAGGTTCACTAAACTACACAGTAAAAAATGTATATATTTACAAATTGCTACCAAAGAAGAGAATGATGTTTTAATCACAGACCTATGGTAAGGTCTGTTAAGGTAACAATTTAATCAGCCTTCGAAATCCATCTGCTTTTATTAAAAGGCGTGCAGGAATTACTCCATAAGAAATAATCACCCGTTTTATTTCCCCCTTCAATACATTCACGTTCTTTCAACATCATTTGTTCATTTCTTTTAAATATAATGAAATTGACCCCTGGATGTGTAAATATCAATCGGATACTCCGTAGACATTTTTCTTCTGTCTACTATAGTCTTATTGGGAACGTTTCAGAGTTACATGTAGTACAAATTGTCAATTATTATTATAAGAGTTATTATAAATTTTCAGTAGCATGAAGGCAAAGAAACCGTCAAAGTGATTTCTTTTAAGAAAACTGTTAATATGAAATAATATCGAACATGAGGAAAAAAACAAGATTTTCTTTGGATCTTTTTGGCCATGTGAATTCTGAATGACCAAAAATTGCTCAGTTTTACTTGACAATACATTATATTCACTTGGATCTTCGTTGATTGAATCGCGTGGCGCAGTGGTTAGAGCGTCTGTTCTAGAGTCGCGAAATAAGGAGTCGATCCTTACGTTGCGGGTTCGAATCCCACTGTGGGACGTGAAGACCGGTCCTTCGGATGAGACCGTATAAACCGAGGTCCCGTGTCGCAGTAGGTGCTGGCATGAAAAATATCCCTCCTTGCTCAATGGCCCTGAGTGTCGAGTTAAGCCAAAATTTGCTGCTCTCCACCGGCAAGTGGTGGGGTCTCCATATGAGTGAAAAATTCTCGAGAGGGACATTAAACAATATACAATCAATCAATCAATCGTTGATTGAATATCGTTTGAAAATAATATAAAATTATTTTGCTTGCTTGTCCATGAAATATGATACAGCGAATTACATCATTATCTTTTCCTGGAATTAAATTTTATCTAACTCAACTTCTGATAAAAAATATAAGAACTCTTCTTAACATTATACTCCCTAGAGGTTTCTGATGAAGTAACTCAAATGCATTTTCTTCTTCAAGAACAATTTCACAAAGTTGTTTGAATACTTTTTAAGTCATGCACTCTTTTAGAAGAAATCCTTTATAGGAAAACACCATATTTTTACTTTAAAATGTTATATTGTAAATGGGTCTGCTGAAATATACAGAGCAAGAGTTAATTCATCGAATGCATAGTTTTCACGAAGGATTTAATCCAGGGTGATCATTTACGTGGAGAAAATATGTAAAGAATTATTAAATTATAAAATTCAAACTGTCTGTCTTTCTTTGATAACTTTTAAATTGATTTCTGATTAAATTATACCCAGAAGAAAATGAAAAATGCAGCAGCTACACTTCTTTTTAGAACATGAGCCATAAGGTAAAATTGACACTTTCAGACAATTTCTACGTACGATTTTGCAAACAACAAACTGCATATCAGCAACAGATTACTAACGGAAAATAAAAGAAAAATAATTACGCAATAGTAGTATATGAAATAACATGACCAAAATTACTATAAACTTTAGCTGAAACCAATATTTTTTTAGCAATTTATCTAGCAGTAAAACAATAACAAAAAGAGACAAAATTCGTACTTCAACGTATTTTTTTATATTTTAATTGCATAGATTTGAATGTTACTTATACAGACATACACACTAGAAAACATTTTAAATCTCGGGTTGGGACCAGAACACAGGAGGTTTTGGTCGTATCCAGATATATTTTTCACAGTAGAAACTGTATTCCTTGCAGAGGTCATAGAATTCCGTGTTTTCAACCTGATTTAAGAACCCAAACCACATATTATCCTCAAGTGGACTGTATCGTTCTAATTTAGATGTAAACATAAAGACTATGATTTTCACAACAACATATCTAGCTGTATATTGTGATATTTTTTCATGTTTTGAATGTAATCCATGAATTGTTGGTCAGAACAAGAGGCAAGAGTCAGTCCAGATATTTCTGTTTGGGGTAGCTGTCCTTTGAACACTTCAATGAGGGATCTTGTGGAATATCTCTCAAGCACGTAAAATATTACTCCTTTGATATAATCACATTTGTCAGTTACTCGTATCCAATTTTCTTTGTTATTTATATTTTCCTTTGAAATTGCTCTTTTCAAAAATTGGACAATTTTATACCACATTTTCATCCAGCAAAGCGCAAACGTAACAATTTGATTTGGACATTTGCCAATGCCATACTCAGGCCATCTAAAACAAGGAAATTCGAACACGTAGCCCCATGTGTTCATATCCCTTGCAAAGAAGCAAGGCATATCAAAATCAAACAAGCAATTGGCAAGGTAGTTCAGAACTTCAATTATGCATTTTGCGTCAAATCTTGAATGTGTGCATTTGTTTGATCCGTAGACATGGAATAGAAAAGCTGTTTTAAGAACATATGATGACAAATTCATGCATTTTCCTGGAAAATTAACCTCCCCAATCAACAAACATTTCAAAATTTTGTAGCATTCTTTGTGATGTGTGTCCATATTTTTCATCAATTCCAGTTCTAGCGCTGCGAAAGTAATAAACCAACAAGTTGGCTGTGGAAAATGTTCAATATGGCAGGATTTTGTGATAATGGGGCAGCCATGGCTGTGAAGCATATCTTTGAATTGTGAAGGAAAAGAAGGCTGAGAGGCTATGGTTTCTGGACAGGGGTGTTCTATGGCCATCATCAGGTCCACGCCAATATTCACATCGTTCAAAGGAACCAGACCAGACTCTGTTGACGCCGACATTAAAGGCTTTTTGGTATAATTAAACAGTAATTTTTGTTTCTCATTAACTTTTGAGTACAGTTTTCCCTCTGAATTTTCTATACATAATGGATTCGATTTGGATACAGATGAAATATTATTCCAAAAATCGCCCACAAGTATTTGGGGATTCCCTAAATAGTTTCCGTATGTTTCCGTGTTCATGTGGCAATTACACATATACCTCTGACCAAAGTGAACTCCTTTTTTGAGTTCAAGTTTTTTATACCACGGATTGCACCCGTCATGTATTTGTAATTTGTCAGCTCCAGATAGTGCCTTCAAAATGACCATAAAGTCAAACTCGTCCGTTTTTCCAATTTTCGTCCCTTCATAGAAGCTTCCAGAGGGAATGTTTTGCGAAATTTTGAAAATTGGCTTTGCCTCTCCGACCAGATAACATGTTTTAGCGACAAAATCCCTCACGCATGATTCAATGAATTTCATAGTGTCCTCTTCTTCTTGAAGTTTACATCTGGACTTGTACAAATGTTTAAGAAAGGCACGTTGCATAGCGTCATTTTGATCTAAAATTATAAGTTAAGTGCATTCATTCAAAGTAATGAAAACAAGAAATTATTTGGTGTGACACACAGCCTCGCACAGACATACCATCACAAATCTTAAATTCATCAAAAAGATTCTGGTAATCACTGTTTGACTCAGCAAAGAAGCTAATACATACCTCCCATTGCTCTAAAATATTAGATGAATACCTTTTTACACCTTTTCACACCTTTAAACCTTATCTTTTCCCACTGTTGGACTTCCTCTTTCACTTTGGTTTGGTACGGTGACCCACACCTGTCACTTGAAAAGCCAAGGGTTAAAAAACAGTATTTTTCATGTTTCAGTATATTTGACAGAGTTTGTTTGTTGAGACTATTAGTCTGAGAGCTAAGTTATATTAACATGTATTCCATACTCATATTATATTTCTTTACAAAATGTGCAAAATTGTGGTTCACCTGAGCTTTCAGTCATTTCAATTTTACGTTTTGACATTTTATTATTCATTCAGCAAACTGTTTTGGAGTCGGTAAAAATTAATATTGTCATTGTTTTTTTTTTTGTTTTTTTTGTATTCATTTTTCATATCTTTGAAATGCAATTGATTTGTGAGGTTAAATTTGATTCAGAAATCACGTTAAAAGTGAAAAACGATGTTGCTCCGTTAAGTAAAGTATGGCTTTGGTTATTGCTCTGCTTTTGTGTTAAATGACTATATAAATCAAATTCGCTGTTGTTAATTTCTTATTTGTTTCGTTTCAATCTAGCATTGGACTTATCAACTTTACTCGAAGGAAATAGATTAAATAAATAAATTAAGGCATAATTATATAGACATACGACTTATTTATGTCAACATGCAAGATAATTATGTCAACATGCAACTTAATTATGTCAACATGCAAGATAATTATGCCAACATGCGACTTATTTATGTCAACATGCGACTGATTTATGTCAACATGCAAGATAATTATGTCAACATGTGACTTATTTATGTCAACATGCAAGAAAATTATGATTACATGCAAGATATGTTAGTTGATATGCAACTTCTTACCTTGCATGTTGATATAAATATCTTGTATGTAAAATTATAACTCGCATGTTGCCATTACTAAGTAGCATGTTAAAATAATTATCTTGCATGTTAACATAATTTACTTGTATGTTCACATAAATAAGTGGCATGTCTACATAATTAACATGCATGTTGACATAAATATCTTGCATGTCTACATACATGTAATTATCTCGCATGTTAACATAAGTAAACCGCATCTTGTCATATGTTGCATCTTGCATCTACGATGTCAGATACGGGCTTACGTTAATCATTTTACCCATATTAAAATCAGATTCTTACACAAAATTTGTAACTTGCATGTCAACATAATTAACTTGCATGTAGACATAATCATTTTGCATGTTGACATAATTTTCTTGCACGTTGCGTTAACTTAATTTATCTTCCATGTAGAGGGCAGAAATATGCCACCATACCATTGCAAGCTTAAGACTGTCTCTAACTTTGACACTAACAATACCCAAGTTTCCAAGGATCTATTGTGTATGTAAATCCAATAAATACCTGCATGTTATATCAACGGAGCATATCAAATTTAATATTTGCCATTACATACCTTTACGATCATGATTTATGTTTACCTTTGACTCCATTCCGATCTTTGTTAGTTTAATTGATCAAGGAAAGTTATGTATTCTCCACGGAGAGTTATAAATTTGACAAGAAATGCAATTTTTGTTCTCTAGTAATTTGATAATTCAATACAAAAAGTAACGTAGAACAGAAGATCTTTTTGCTTATATTATACACAGTCTCATCTTTTGGGTCTGATAATCATTCTCGAGTACTTTAAGGAGCGATAATCATTTCCAAAGTTGTACCAAACAACAGATCTAGAGGCCCACGTTCTTACAGAAGATCTGTGACATTTTCCCAAACTGTCGTTGTCTTGATCTTTTGTTGAAAATGTCCACCCATTATGAGGTCCTAGACTATCTCCTTCAATAAAATTTACCCTTCAAAATGGATTCTTCTATATTTCATTTTTTTTTTTCAATTATGTACTTTAAGTCATCATCAGTAAGTAAATATGTGATAAAATATGAATTAATTGACAAGTATCATTTTTGCTTAAAACGTATAATTTTTATCAAACTTCAATGAAATGTCCAATATTATAATATATTGAAACTTAAATAACACTTTTACCTTGCATTGGCGTTTAAGATCAAAAGCTTAACGAAGTCTTTCTGAGTAGATGATGGCATGCATTTATTTGTGTCAAGGGATAATAAAATACATGGACTTTCCTGCAAAACCACTCTATCCATTTACTCTCAACTTGTATTTGCCGTATTTGCTTTTCCACAGAAAACGTTGAATACTTGGCGAACATTTTTTTTGCCTCAGAAATCTTCTGAAGGTCCACTCTCAGCTCTTGTTCTCTTGTGGTGATTATGTGAATGACTTCATTACCTAGATAGAACATTTCATTAAAAAAATATAAACTAGTATATTTTCATATTAGCTAGTCAGGGATTTCTGATATGATTTATGAGGAGAGTAGAGTATCAGAAACCCTTGGCTAGCGAAGATGGTGTGTTCTATACAGAAAGAAAATAATAAAGACAGAGTCAACTAATAAATAAACCTTTACAATAACATGAATAAATTCAACCAATTGCAAGTTTAACAATTTTCTTGTCAAAAATATTACGTCTTTTGCATATTACAATTGGTTTTATTTTAATCATGGTAACTTAAAGTTTAAAAATAGGGCCAAACTATTTTTAGTGCTCATCATACTCTGGCGTTGAAAATCTTTTTTCATACAATCTTACACATGTCTGCATTTAATTTTTTTGAGTTGCGCGAGGTGTATACTTGAAGACAATGGAGATACAAACAGACCTGTTATAAATATACACCTTTTGTCTTCAAATTTAAGTTGAATTCGGAAAATAATGATAATGGAAGGGGGAATAATCTCAAATGGAGAACTTATCATTAGATATGATGGCCACTCTTTAGCAATGTTGAACTTGCATTCGTAGATTAAATTCGCTATTCTTTATTCTCCTTATCCATGTAACTATTATCTTGATCTTCGAGTATTTTATCATAATTTATCTGACTAATATTCTTCTTCGATTTTTCCAAACCTTTGTTTGTAGGACTTCCAAGATTTGTAAATATCAACTGATCTGGCTATCCTCCTTTGAATAACCTACATTTATTTACGGAAAACTAATCTTTAAAACAAATCAAAATAAATGAGAATTCTTTGCTGAACATTTGTTTTGTTGCTGAAATGTTATAAAATTTAACGGGGGTATATAAGGAAAAATTAAAATTTCTAAATAGAAAATATCACTATAAACTCATGCCCTCAGTAACACATAACAAAGGTACACTGAGCAATGAGCTCACCAAATGACACCCCCGCCTCCCATAATGGCAGTGTCCATGTTTTGCTATGGGAAACCCAAAATATGTGACGGATCAAACAGTAAAATAAGAGGTCATAATGGTAATGGGCAATAAAGATTCTGTGAAAGTTTCATCCAGTGGTATGAGAGGAGTTGCGGATAAGCGATCGGTACCCCAAAAGCGTGACAGACGGACGGACAGACGGACAGCTGTACAGATAGACGGACTGATATACCAATTACTATATATATATAATTCTTGGTATAATGATCGGGATGTTTTTGATTTTCTTGCACTTTCACAAAGTAAACATAATCCTTTATTCGTTTTTTTTTTCTTGTTTAACGTCCCTCTTGAAAATTTTTCACTCATATGGAGATGCCACAACTTGTGATGCAGGACTACAAATTTTAGTCTATACTGAGCACTCAGGACCATTGATCATTGTGGGATTTTTTCTCCCAACTTAAAGAGATATCTCTCATTTTAAAGAGATGTTAACTTAGCCAGACATCTCTTTATATAAAAGAGATTTCTCTTCTACTTGAAAAGATATCTTTCTCCTTCAGAGAACCTCTTTCGTGAAAAGATATATCTCTGAACGGAGAAGAGCTATCTCATTTACCAAGAGAGCTATCTCTTTTAATTTTTGAGATATCTTTCCAAGTTAAAGAAATATCTATCTAAGTAAAAGAGATACCTCTCTTAGTTTATCTTAAGAGATATCTCTCTTTCAAAAATGTCTAAAAGAGACCGCCTTTTATACAGTAGACTATTATTATCACTGCGTTCAAACGAAAAATGAAAGAAAACAATTCCGCAATTTGTTTTTTTGAGCCAGTCAACTTACTGCTGCGTTCTTCTTATTGGCGCATGCGCACGTCGTATGACGATTTTATGACGTATGACGAAAAAAAATCGTGTAATGGGATGTAAAAAAATTGAGTCGGGCCATTTCTAGGCAGGAGGTCGGGAAAGAGGGCAACCAAATAGTTTTATAAAAAGTGGTCTTAACAATATAAGGCTAGTACATGTTCCATCACATACTTAGAATTGGAAAATTTCTGAAGCTTTGGCACTATTTTGAAAAAGAAACATAGGAGTTTCGGGAAAGGGGGCAGCCTCTCACTTTTTTTGCGAAGATAGACATAGCATATGCAATGGATCTTTCTTTGCAAACATTGTGCTCGCTTCTAAATTTCAAAGAAACAACTCAATATATTTTATCAAACTTCGTATTATAGTGAGAGCTTACAACTTTGTCAACATAATGAGACATGATGTGTTTTTATTTCCAAACATTACTCCATACAATGTGTGGGTCATCGCAAACAATCTAGCTATTTATGTGAGGTGCCTGAAGGAAATCCTATAACTGACTATTTTTTCAATCTAACTGCTAATCAAAATAGACACATGTACCAACTTTTCGATTGTAATACATGTAATTACAATTTGTTTTTCATGCACCGCATATTGTTTAACATTTTCAAATTAAAAGCTAAGCATCCTCCTTGCAAAGCCCCATTTGAAAATAACTTCTATCGCCACAGAAAAGAGACCCGTCGTAAACACATATGTTTAGGACATTTTTTAAAATCTTTTTTCTTGAGTTTTAAAGAAACCAACAAATTATCAAGACATGTTCCATGAAAAATTAAATATTATATCCATAGCAGATATATGCAAATGCCAAACACGTGCCCAGTGGAATGATATGAACAAGGAAATTCGAGCGATAAACAGAACAGTTTTTCCGATTTGCTGGAGTGGGGTTAAAATTGCGTTTTTTCATCAATCAGGCGACGCGATGCAACAAATAAAAGTAGTAAGTCATATAACCTAAGGATTATTACTTAGTAATTTCTTGTCTTGATGTTGTTATGGTCGCATTTATTCTAAAATCAATGTTATTGGACCTCTAAGTGACAGAGGAATGGCGGACGAAATAAACACATGGCCTCAGGAAGACCCCCATTTGTCAGGAAGACCCCCATTTGAAAAATCAAATTTTCAAGAATTATGGATAATGACAAGAAAAAAGCGAAACAAATGGTTGTAGCCATATTATCAATGAATCGAACTGACATCATATTCAATGCATTTTTTATCTCGTGAATGCTGTAGGTGCGCAGTACTAACATGATTAATTTCCTCCTAATTAAAACATAATAAACTTCATTATTTCCTAATTTTGGTCTCTAACAGAAGGTAATGAGTGCTTTAGCACTTTGAGTAACTTTGGGCTAGTTTGGTGGACTATTAAGCGCATTCTTGGTATTTCTTATTTTACACCAGACTTGATCCAATATGGCTCGTACATCCCCCTTAAAACGATCATAGAATTTACTAAGTGCTGAATTAAAAGAGATATTTGGAATCCTTATGTATCCAAAGCATCGACTACATTTGGAGCATAAATACCATATGTAAGTGATTTCGGAGCACTACTACATATACATTAAAGATGTAAAAAGCTGAAAACAGCTCGTTTGTGATACAGTTTTAATAGGTTGTTTGTTAGATATATTCCTCTATAAACAGTTAAAAATCCAAATATGAAAAAAAACGCGGTAGATACATAGTAACTATACGACAATGTATATTATAATTGCTTGTGTCATTTTTATAAACCCTATTTTTATGATCAATCATATATGTACATTTAAATTTAACTTTGGGGAAGCAAATGGTTAGCACAAAAAATACTGAATTTAAAATCAATGATTTGATTAAAACAATGTTTGATGATGTAAAAAAAATCAGCTGTAATATTTCAAAGTAAAATGAACCTCTGGATGAAATTTAAGGAGATATCAAACACTTATTCGAGCAAAAAAGTCTATTAAGGTAAGCAATACAACACGGGAGCAGAGCAAACACTGGCCTATAAAATCCTTTCGGAAGTACCTTGTAAATATCATTTCTTGCAAGCTCATAGTTACACTGTTATTTTCATTTACAATGTCTACAGTTGTCTACTTCTTAGGTACGACACATCTCACCTTGCAATTACCTAGAGATGGATCAATTAAAAAAATGCATTGTTCTAAGCATCGGATTGTAGTGCAAAATATGGTAAGAACATAGTTTTAATCATCTTCTTTTCGCTATACAATCATCCGTTTACCAAGTTTAATATTACTAGGTTTTCTCATTGTGCAAGATATGTCCCAAACATGTTTTACTACTAGTATGTTTAGCCATAAAATTCCAATTACAAAATGTGATACAATGACCTATATGTTTGAGACAGGTTGCATCGACTACAAAAGTAGTTAGTCTCATAGTGTGCAAGATATCATGATCCGGACACGGTTTGATTATGTATATCGATAGAATTAAAAATGAGTCCCCATAGATCTTCATTTAAACTGCAACAAACCTTTTCCTAAAATTCATCAATTGACAATTTTTAATGTTATATGGACGCTTGGTGACTAAATATAATCATGTAAAAACCAGAGCTAATACATGTAGTTCGACATATGAAAAAGAAGCCTGGTCAACACCATGACATATCTTGTCGGAATAAAAGCAAATAAAAAAAGAAGTAAAATACGCGTCTTAACTCTCATAAGATTAATAATGTATCAACAAACCTGACATAAAACAAAAATTTAAAAAAAAATCAGATATTGATAAATATGTAAATTTACAATTCAAGTGCATTTGTTTTCAATCACATGTACTGACACATTTTAAAAAGTAAGGTTTCATTATCCACACATCAATTTTATCATATTTCAAAATTTAAACAACGATTTTAGAAAAGAAAATGATATACTGAAAATTGAAGTTTTTGTTGTTCTGATTGTTCATAGAATAAAAACAAATCTAATTTACACACAAAAAGTAAAAGTAACACATGCTTCGCACGAATATACAAATTCCTTTCAATCGTATTCCCCTTTTTTTTTTTTTTTTTTTTTTTGCTTTTTCTACTAAAACACTCACATATTTAGCTAATAACATGTTCAAATGATGAAAAGAAATACAAATAACTTCAACTGACACAGCAATTACAGTTCTCCAAAAAAGAAATAGTTAAGGATTTTTACACCATGTATACTGTTAATATATTGCAGGGATTTAAAAACATAGATTAAATCTAATTATTTTCTATTTGTTATCAAATCTAGCTATTTTTATTTGTTACGATTTATATTTTGATCTGGCACGATATAAAAAAAAAATCCGTCACATTTAACATGGTTTTCTTCATTTTCACTGAAAAGAGCAGTTTACAATAAGGTTTTCATTTGCGTTTTATTTATGTTTTATGTTATTAGTTATTACTATTCTCTACCTTGATGTTCTTAGAAATCTTAGTATTTTTCTGCCATTATGTTCACAACAAGAGCAGACCATCCAGTAAAGGGGAAGCTCCCCCTACCCGTTCCGGTCATGTCATCATATTGTTCAAATACATAACCTCTTTCATAGTACTGTTTGAAAATGTTCTCAACAACATTTTTTCTTAGCTCTGTATAAATATTACTTGCTTGATTTTGATAAGGACCAGGAACTTGAGAGTAGTGGTGAAGTCCACTGATAATTAGGTAGTTCATATTTATCCATATTCCTCCTCTCCAGTGCGGAGGGTCGGTAACTGTATTTGGTGTGTTGTAAAATTCTGACTTTAAAGATAATGACCGTATCCCATATTTTGTCCATAACAAATTTTCTTTTCTTAGGTCTGACAGCATTTTTTCCAATCGAGGAGAATCAGAATCAAGAATTTTTAGCATCAAAGGATATAAGCTAACGTATCCAAATATCCCAATATATCCAAATGCTGGCTCTGAATAAACACGGCGGTCTATACTGATGACACTCTCTATTTCTATGTCATCAGTATGTAATCCATAATCACTAAAAATTCCGTTTCGAGAGTCCCAATGTAAACTGTCTAACAAATTGTTAGCGGTAAGATCCTTACTAATTTTCTCGTATGTGCTTGAGTCCTCTCCAATCCTTTTTGCAATATTCACTAATACTCCCGAAGCCATCGCCATCCAACAACGAAGGTCAAGGTGCCGCTCATTTTCGTCAGGATGGGACGCACGCGGGTAATCATCTAATCCAGAAGCAAAGGTGTATGGAATCAATTCCATTTCTGCGGAACTATTTCTTCCCCTCCAATAAAAAGACGTAGGTATTTTTCCAGCTTGGCTGACTTGTAACCATTTGAACCATATTTCCATTCTTGGAAAAATTTTCTTTAAGAAAACCTCTACATTTTGTCTATTTTTAATTAGATGTTGAATGGCTAGAAAAAGAGAAGGTGGATTTGCAATATTGTTTCTTTGCACGACAAACTGAGATGAAACCTTAGCTTCTGCTTCCGCTCCAAGTATCTGTTCTCTGGGTATCCATCCTTCTGCATTTATCAAGTCTAACCAATGTGCAATGATATCTTCTGATATTTTTGCATCCCAAAGAGTTATCAAATGAAGATCAAACCCTACATTCCAAAGAAATCCTCTTGGGAATTTTGATCTAGATGGTATAGAGGTATAAAGTGTAGCTTGCCAATACTTCAAAACCTCTTCGCTCTTTTCAGATTGTACTTGAGATGCACCATAGAAGTAGCTAATGCTCCCTAGCATATTACTCAGTGTTGCTTTCGCAAAGTTGATGGCTTTTAGCGTGTATCTTTTTGATTCCAAATCAAAAACAGAAGAAAACTTTTTGTCAAATTCTCCAGAACGTTCTTCTATCTCTCGAGTTAGTACTTCACCTTGGAGAATATTTGTTGAACGAAAACTATTTGATTGAAAAATTATATCAAACTCAAGTGGTAATCGGGCTGTTATTTGGTGAACAACAAAATTTATACCACGATCCGTTTTATGAAACCCTTTAAGGGCAATGTATTTCTTATTTCCAACTAATGTTTTACGCACAAAGTGTTTAAAAAGGTCCCGATCTAAAACATCCAATCCAGATGCATGACCTTCAAAAAAATCACGCACTATTATTGGGGACTCGGTTGATGTTCGGAAAAAAATACGAAAGCCTCCGAGTTCTTTACTCTTACCAACAATTGCTGATTCACCATCTTCTTTGAAATATGATAATTGTACTTGATTATCCAGCGCAGCATATGTAAAAAATGATACCATAGGGGCATTCTTTTGGTTCTGGAAGAAAATAAGATATACTTTAGAAAACAACTAGAGAAAAAAGAACAAATTGTAAAAGTGTAAACATTGTTTTCTTACTTTAAGTAGACATTACTGTTTTTGAACTTCAAATCATTTCATTTTTTATATGGCCCGATCTACTTGCGAATAAAATTTCAAGTGGCGTTGTTTCAGACGTACCAAAGTACACGTGATACCGTCAATGAATGTAGTATTGTAACAGTAAAAAATACACAATGTTTGTGTATAAAATCATTAAATGTTTTAAATTATAAACAACCGTGTTACATAATTTAATATGTTAAGTTGTCAATTCTCCTAGAAGAGATTTATCAATTTTGTGTAATTTTAGTCTAAAACAAATGTAGCCTTTTTCCTTGAAAATGTATGCACATGAATTACTCATCTATTTATGTCTACTTGTTTCATGAGTTGATTGTTTCTCAGGTTATAAAATATCATAATTGAAATATCCGTCGAGTCATTTAAATATGATCAAGAAGATAAGGTTAATAAATCAATTTCAAATAACATAATAAAGCTGTATTTCAGCTTTACAATTATGGTTTAATCAAGGGATTTTGCAAGTTTTTTTAAACTTCTGAGATCAATGGTGTATTAGTATGAATTTACACAGATTGAATTGTTCATAAATTTACTTTAACGATAATTAAAAGTGATTTAGGTGATAATATTTTTTCTTTCAATATACTCTTAAGATCTTGAATTTCTGTTAACTAGAAAATTGCTTACGTGTACATGTTTCATTATATGAAACCAGTTTTGGTTGAATCCACGAAAATCTTAAGTGTGGCCTGGATTGATGTTAAAGATGCGCGAGGGTTTATTAGATTTACGACGATTCAAATGATATTGTTTTAACAGGTCATATTACAGGTACTTTTTTCACATCAGCAAGAAATCTATCAAAAATTACAGGAAAACTCGTGTTATTTTCTGAAAATGTTGCCTCTGTTTGTAGGTACATGTATATGATACGGCAGATAGATATTTAGTTATCTGTTTCAGAAAATTTAAAATTAAGCAAGGAAGCAAACGTAGAATTGGACTTCTGTAATATGAATTGTAAGTATCGATCTTTTATCAAAAAATCTAAATATGATTTGCAAGAAAAACTACCTTTTATAGATGCAACTGACCATGCAAGAACAGAATACTGTGTGAAAAAAAATGTACAAAAAAGATTGTGGCAAGAAGCACATAAAAATTCAACCTAAAGATAATTTTAAAAAGAGATTATGTAAGATTTAAAGGTATAATGTGTATGTAGATATGAAAAACTGCATACAGATACTGTATACAGGGAAATTTTCGCCCCTTTCGCCCTACTCCCATTTGGGCGAATTTAAAACGGGGCGAATTAAAACAATGCAGTATAATTTCTTAAACAAAACTATGACTGGGCGAATTTAAAACGGGGCAAAATTGTTTGCAAGTGTGAAAGGGCGGAAATAAGACGGGGCGAAAATAACCCTGTATACATGTACAGTAATCAGAGTGCTTCGATAATTATTAATGTTGGAAGTAGGAAATCACAAGGATGGGTTTAAATATGGAGGACTGGTCAGTTCAGTGGACAATTGTTCTGGCAATCACGACCATGTTCGTCAGAATAACACCAGCAGATGAGCAATTGAACACGAGTGAAGTTACAACTTCATGTGTGAAAGATTTATTCATGTCCAGGTTCATATACGGTATTTATTTGGACGATTACTTGTTGAATAAACTTTATCTCCCGAAGATTCCTTTGTTTATTTCCCGCCATGATGAAAACAATACATAGAGAGTCTCAGACAAGGCCTACAAATATCATTTTATTCTTCAAATTCTGGCAGACGCAAGGAGGCAAACCTAAATAACTTTGTGGTGAGTCACTTATATATCAACAGTCTAAGATATAAATTTGACGAAATTAAAGACATATAAATTGATAATTAGTAGACTGTCTCATTATAAGCGAAACGAAAATAGACTCTTCCTTCCTTGATGCTATTTTTGCAGTCGAAGGTTATAAACTGTTTCGGCGTGAAAGAACAAAGCATGGAGGAGGGCTTGCAGTATTTATGCGATCAGATATTCCAGCTAGGAGAAAGACATACCTTGAGGACCAAGATTTAGAATGCATCACCATGGAAGTGACACTAGATAAAACTAAATTGATCTTGTTGTGTGTATACAGACCTCCATCTCTGAATGAACTTTGTTTTAACATATCTATGTGCAATATTCTTAAAAAAAAGTACTTCTTTTTATGAAAAATAATGATTTTCTTTAGATTTAGATTTTGACATGATAAACAAAGAGAATTCAAGTTTTAACTGAAATATGTGACATTTTGGATCTGTGTAATATTATCAAATCACTATCAAATGTTTAAAAAAGGGTTGTGAACAATCCCTTGTTGTTGTCATATTAACATATGATCAATTAGTATGTAAAAATACCCTGAATTTTAATACTGGGGTAAGCGATTGTCACAATTTTATTGAAACTTTTATCAAAACCAGCATCACAAATTCTAAAAGTTCTGTCATTTTAACTTTTTAAGTTTTAAGACTTTTGATGTACAATCTTATATTTCTGACTTACAAAAAATTGAAACACCCATAGTGGCAAATGACGCCTCAGATGAAATGTACATTATCAAAATTTTGAAAAAGCTTTTGTAAATGTTGCAGACAAACATGCACCTTAGAATAAAAGGCGTAAACATAAAAATAGTGTACCATACATGAATTATGAATTAAGGAGGGCTATTTCTAGAAAGCAAATGCTGAAAAACAAGTTTGACAAGTGTAAGACAGATGAGAATTGAGAAGAATTCAGGAAACAAAGGAATTATCTTCCAAAACTAAAAAGGGTATCGATAAGAAACCATTTTCAAGAAAGATGTGTAGGGGGACAAAATCGTTCAGATTTTTTGAAAACTATTAAACAATTTTTATCGAAAAAATCAAAGTCTGCAGAAAATACAATCATTTTATGTGAAAATGACAAGATTTTAAATGACCCAAAAGAAACATGCAACACTTTTAATGAATTGTATGCTAATGTGGCAAGTAAAATAGAAAAAGATGTAATTTTAAATGAAAAAGATCATTGTAGTCTGAAAGCTATCAGGAAAAATATTGTATTTACTGACATTTGATATCAAGAAAACTGATGACGACGAAGTGACTAAGCTAATAAACAAACTTAATGTTAAGAAATCTACTCGTGTAGATACAATATCTGCTAAACTTTTGAAATTTGGAGCACCTGTTCTGAGAAAACATATTTCTATTCTTGTTATCCAATCCATACAAAAGGAAACTTTTCCTGATAGGCTAAAACAAGCTCAGGTCATTCCATTGTACAAAAAAGACCCTCTGTTAAAAAGTAATTATAGACCTGCTAGTATTTTACCAACCGTGTCAAAGTTTTTTGAAAAGGTTTTATGCGTAAAACTTTCTGACTATTTGATGGTATTTTTAATAATACTCTTTGTGCATTTAGAAAAGGCCATGGACGCCAAACTGCACTACTGCGACTCCTAGAAGACTGGAAAATGGCTTTAGATCAAAACTTACATGTAGCTGCCATTTTAATGGACCCCTCTAATGCTTTTGATTGTTTGCCACATGACATATTATTAACTAAACTCTCTGCTTATGGTTTATCTCCAAATTCTGTTTCTATTCTAGGAAGCTATTTGTCTGAGCGCTTGCAGCAAATGAAACTTCAGGGAGTTGTCAGTGTTGGTTTGGTATTAAAAAGGGAGTACCACAAGGTTCTATTCTTGGTCCACTACTCTTCAATGTTTTTATCAATGACATATTTTATTTCAGTAAGAATGGGTCTTTATTTAATTATGCAGACAATAATACCGTAGCATACTGGCACAAGGATTTCGACACTCTTATAAATACTTTTATTAAAATGAAATTTCTGTATTATTTAAATGGTTTAAAGAAAACTGTGTGCAGGCCGATCCAACTAAATTTCAGGCGACTGCCTGCAAGTGGGTAAGAAAACTTTTGATAAGAATCCTACATTTAAAATTGATGGTGCAGAAATTTGATTTGTGTAAAGAGACTGTCAATTATTAGAATTGATATTGATTTTATGCTAAAATTTAATGTCCATATTAGTAATATCTGTAAAAAAAAAAGCTGCCAAACAATTAAACATTTTAAAACGCATTAGTTCAGTATTAACTCGGGCAAACAAAAGTACTATATTTTATAGTTTTATTTTGTCAAATTTTATTTTTTGTTTACTTGTCTGGCACTTCTGTTCAAAGAAAAATACCAGGAAAATTGAAAAAAAGAGCCTTATGTTTTATTTATGAAGATTTGGAAAGAAGCTATGAGTCATTACGACATAAGGCAAAATTACCGTCATTAGAGATTAGAAAAATGCTCAGCATGGCTCTGGAATGTTTTAAGATTTTTCATGAC